TCCCTCACCGCTATTTTCTAGTCATTAGATGCTAGACTTCTCTCTGCCACTAATGGCTGACCGCTAGATGGTGAGCCTACTAAACCCTAAGCTGGTGGACAGTGGACTTAAATTCTTTCTCATGTTGACGGGAAATTTGTATCTTTATATCTTCTAATGTTCTTTGATTCTATCTCTTAGACTCAGAGAGTTCTGCACAGACAACACTTGAAATTCTCAGACAGTGTTTGAATTCCTTCCCTCGCTTCTGAGTGTTTTCTTCTCCAGGCTACACATCTAGCTTTCCCCAGCTGGTCTTGATGTAATCCTGTTTCCTACTCTTCCGTTCCCTGGATACTCTCCTTTGGACAGACCTCAGTGTTTGAATATCTTCTCATAGCTGTATGAATTTGGGCTAACCACTTCAGCCTTCTGAGCCTTGGTTTCATCATCTGTCAAATGGGAATAATAATTACCCTACCTCATAGGATTGTTGGGAAATCACATGAAATAATGTCTATTGAGTGCTTAATACAATACCAAACACATATGGGGTCCAGAGTATTGTAGATCTACCTACCCAGCATAAAATACAACCAGACCAGCATTTTCCATTTCTGGACATTCTACATACAACAAAAAATAATTCCATTGCCTTTCAAATCATCTTTCAATTATTTGTGGTTTTGCATAAATAATTATACAATTTGCCTAAATAATTATGCAATAAATAATTTTTAAAAAATGCCTTGTTCCACTAGCTTTTGAGACTTATCTATTTTTTTTTTTAGCCTGGTTACCCTCCCACTCTCTCCAAGGCAGATCTCTAGGCCAAGGGCAGGTCCCAGGAGTGATAGTGGAGCTACCTGAGAAAGACACAGTAGAGAGAACAGGTTGTTGAGAATACTGATTTCTAAATCTTCAAGGCTAGTTACCCTATGCATTGGAAAGAGCATGGGTGTTTTTGTACATACAGACAGGAATTTGAATCCTGGTTCTGCCACTTCCTAGTTGTGATCCTAGGCATTATTTCTCTTGAGTCTCAGTTTCCTCATCTGCAAAACAGGGCAAATACTCTCAACTTTATAAAATTATTGTAAAGACTAAATGAGAAAATATATGTAAAACACCGAGTGGTGTCTGATATTTTGTAGATTCTTACTAAATACTGATTTCTTCACTGTCCTACTCTTTCTCTGCAACTGGCAGGAGCTTATTCTTCGGGCCTGGAGTCATCAGGAACAGCTCCTCATGAATGGTTATTTCCTTCTCTGGAAACAATGCCATTTTACATGTGTAGAGTGCTTTGTAACTTACAAAGCACCTTGTACCTGTGCTATCTTGCTTGCACTTTATAAACTTAAAGAAGCAGATAGAATGGGGTTATTATTCCCATTTTACAAATACAGGTGAACAGAGAGAAGTGACTAAGATCAGAGGGCTGTGGATTAGTGAAACTGGGAGTCATCTCCTTACTCCAAGCTCAACATTTCTTCCACTGTGCCCTCTCTGGTTAAGTAACTGGTTGCTTGGATTGGCCGAGGCTAAGGATCCTTGAGGCCATCTGTTGGCACTCCTCACTTGCTCATCATCATCTCTCATGTCTCTCCTTCATGAAGAATTTGCTTCAGCAGCAATTCTGTCTGCACTATCCCATACTTAATCATTTCTTTCACATGCCATCTCCTCGGTCTGCAACTAATCCATCTTTTTTCTTTGCCCCAATACCCAGATTACAATTTGCAGGCTTCCAGAACCAGAAAGGCTTCTAGGATTGGCTGTACTTGCCTGGGTTCACACCCTTACTCATCAGCCCCTCAGACTCAGAGTGGCACTGCCCTACCTTGCACTTGACGACAGGCAGCTCGGAAAGAGGGTTCTTCGGGAGTTGGTGCAGCTGTGACCTTGGTTCCCCCGGCAAGACAAAAAGCTCCTTGAGGGCAGGGGTTGGGTCTTCCAGTTCTCTGGTCTCCCCAAGACAGGGCTCTGCCCACAGTGGGCGATCAAAGCTGCTGATTGCCTGACAGGGGGATGGACTGGATGACCTATGAGGTTACACTCAGCCTCCTGACTGCTATTCTACGATGACACCTACTTCATCCACTTTGTGGTCCTTGCTCCCCCAATAAGCCATGTCCTATTGTGTTGCTTGGCCTTTGCACATGCTTCTTTCTGGAATGCCATTTTCTTTCTTCTCTACCTGGAAAACTGCTATTAAGCTTTTAAGGATACAGTTCATCTGTCACCTCCTCTGTGAGGCATTCCCTGCCAAATTTCCCAAACAGAACAGCTCCCTTCTTGATGTTTCCATAGCATTTGTTCAACAAATATTTACTGGGAGCTATGCTGAAAAAAAAATAGTCCTGCCCTCAAGGAGCTCATGGTCTAGTGGGAAGACCAATGAGTAAAAAGATGAACTGACTAGGGTATGACAGGCGCTGTGATGGAGAGAGTCTGTGGGAGAATAAAGACAGCCAGGGAAAGTTTCCCAGAAGAGGGGGCTCCTGAGCTTCCACCATGGCCCTTTGCACACAGTCGTACAATAGTAAGCCACTATCTCTAATTCCCACCAGCAGCTTGGGAGCAAGTACATTCCTTCATTACTTTTGAACACTTGATATTGAATGTGGTGCTTAGCTCATAATTGGCATACAGTGTTTGTCAAAATGAATACATTTGAATTGAATGGCCAAAGTTACCCTTCCAGGCCAAAGGCTCTGAAAACTTACTCAGCAGAAAGAAAGATATTTGGCATCTTTCCTGCCAGGAAGAGCCTCTAGGTACAAGATGATCCTGATACCCTTGTACCCCAACTACCTGCCCCAGCATTTTTGTGTTCCCAGGGCCTAGAACAGTGCCTGGCACATGGTAGGTTCTTGATAAATGTTTGAAGAAAGGAAGCAAGGGAGAAAGGGAGGGAGGGAGGGGGGATGGGAGGAAGGAAGGAAGGAAAGAAGGAAGGGCAGTAAGGAAGGTAGGGAAGGAATATGGGAGGAAAGGAAGGAAGGAATTCTAGCAAGGAATACTTACTGCAGGATAGACATGGCCAATCTGAGCAGTCCTCCCTATGTGGAGCTCATCTTCATCCTCCTCTTCTGTTGTTTTTCTGTATACTGGGTTGTCAAAATTCATGCTTTTGGTGTTCTTCCGCTTCCAATTTCTCCAGATCAGGTAGCCACTCATACACAGGAGGGCAATTACCGCTGGAGGAAGAGACACATTACATTGGACCTCCAGCAGGCTCCAGCCCCATTGCTCAGATGTCAGTGCAGCTGTTGCCACCTCTCTAATTTTATTGCCCTTGTAGCTCAGACTGTTTCTGTATATTCTTTTTCTACTGCTTGGAAGGCCTTCTCCCATCTTCTCCTTCACTAACTACTCATTCTTAAAGATCCAGCTCAAATGTGAAGTCTTGCTCAACTTTTTGAGGTAGAGTCAGTTGCTCCCTCACATATGTTCCCAGACCATGGTATCATACTTTATATACGTGTACTCCAAATGAGACTGTGCTCTCTGAGGGCAAATCGTGTCTTTCTTTCTCTATGCCCAGTGCCTCACACTGAGTGGGTAATCGCTAACATGTGCTGACTGAATGAGTAACTTCCTTCACCATGTCTTTTCCCTAATGCTCCTGCTTTTATGGATTTCCCTAAGAAAACTATTTTCTCCCCATATTAGAGGGGATCTGCAAGAAAACTATTTTCTCCCCATATTAGAGGGGATCTCTAGAAAAAGAGTAGGGAAACACAGACTCCAAGTTAGTATAAATGAATATATTAACAAATAAAGGAGGAAATTCTCAAACAGAGCCAGGCAAAAATGAGCCAAACAGCTTCATAAGATAGTAAGAAGTCTTTCTGAGTATTCACGTGGAGGCCAGATAACAGCTATCCAGGATGCTTTAGAGGGGGTTTCTACTTTGGTAAGATTATAATAATTGATTGTAATAGTTGATACCCGTTAAAGATAGAAACAAGGCACACATGCTTGTTATCACTGCTACTATTTATTGTCTTGGAGATCTAGCTATGCAGTAAGACCAAATAAAAAGTTGAAGGGTACACATAGGGGAAAAGGAAAAACTAAACTGATATTGTACATTTGGAAAGATTAGAAAAGCAGATGAAAAACTTTTAGAAATAATTTTAGTTCAAAAAGAATTCACATAAAAATCATTGGCTTTTATATTAATCCACAATAACTAATTAGAAAATGAAATGGAATAAGAACACATTTGTAATAGCCCAATAAAAACTATGAAATGCCTGGGATAACCTAATAAGAAAGTACAAGTCCTATATGATCTACAAAATACTATCGAAGAATATAAAAGAAGGCTCAAGTAGACATGTCATGTTCCTTGATGGGAAGCTTCAATATTTTAAAAATGTAAATTCTCTCCATATCGATTTATATATGCAAAGAATAAGATCCCATCATAATTTTTATAGGATTAACAACATTATTCTAAAGTTCATCTAGAAGAGAAATTGAATAAAAGTAGCTAGGAAAATGTTGCAAGAATAATAATGCCCTATCAGACATTAAGACATCACAAAGTTGCACTTCTAAGATATAGGAATAGACAGATAATTGGTGGAGAAGAATAAACAGCCTAGAAGCAGATCAAAGTATATATAGGCCTGTAGTTTATAATTAAAGATGATAATTAAAGTCAGAAGGAAAGGACTATTCAGTAATAGTCTTGGGAAAACTAGATAGGCATGTAGGAAAAAAAGAGTTCAATCTCTACCTCACACCATACTCTAAAATAAATTCCAAAATGGATTAATATCTAAATACTAAAAAAGTTTAAACTAGTAGAAAAACACGTAGGGAGATCTTTTAATAATTTAGAGTGAGGCAGACCTTCCTAAGCAAGGTATCCAGAAATCATATCACAAAAGATTAGCAAATCTGATACTTAAATTTTTAAATTTATGCATGGCAAAAGATACCATAAACAAATTTCAAGTGACAGTATGGGAGAAACTATTTCTAACTTATGTTCCAAATGTTTAATATCCATTATGCATAAATATTTGTATAAATAAGTAAGAATAAGACAAAGAAGCAGTAGAAAAATAAGAAAAGACCATGGATAGGCAATTTATTAGGATGAAATATAAATGGCCAATAAGCTTATGAAAATATACTATAACTCACAGGGAAATACTCGAGAAAGAATACTAATTTTTCATCCTTCAGATTTGCAGAAATTTAAAATTTTTGATTATATCAGGGAAACAGCACACACATGCCTTTCTATAGAGCAGAGGATGTCAGGAAAGGGGTTGATTTCTCATTCACTAAACCATGCTCAGTTTATTTTCCACTTACTCCACTCAAAATAGCCTGGAATAGTCTCACTATCATCTTTACTGTGGAAGCTTTTCAAGGCCAATTCAAATGCCATCTTCTCCAGAAGTACCACTCCCTCTCCTCCACAGAACATTACGACACATTATAATATGTATTAACACCTCTCTTGTATCATTTTTTTAATGACTAAGTCTGATTAAAGACTAAAAATGCTTAAAGTCTTTTACCTTTCTTCCCTTGATCCATGGCATTTGGCACAGTCCTTTGTACAGTGTAGAAATTTTTAAAATATTCACTCATTAACTCACTACCACAGTGAGGATTTCCAGGATAAGTGGGCAAAACGAATAAGGGAAATAAGTCTATGTATGGACAATCACAATTCAAAGATCCCACCAAGAGATGAGACTAGTATGAGAGACAGGATGTACAGGATACCATATGAACATGGGGAGGGGAGAGAATGAATCAGCCCCATGGTTCTCTGTGAGGTTTAACCAAATATTATATTCTGGCTGTACTGAACTCCTTTCTAGTTATAAACCCACCTACAACTCACATGCCATTTTCCATTCCTGGCTTTGTTCATGCTGTCTTCACCGCCTGGGTTGCCCTTGCTCCTTCTTCACTTGGCTGACTCAGTTCAAATGTCATTTCCACTAGGAGACCTTCCCTGCCCACTTACTTTCTCTCTCAATTCTAAGTTAGGTGCTCCTCAGCTCAGTACTTCCGCTAAACCACATTTGGCTTAATTTTAGGACTTGCCGTGTCATAATCAAATTATCTGTGTTATGTGTGTCTCTCCAATAAGAAAATAAACTTTTGGAGGACAGGAAACATGCTTTATCCATTTTTAACCACCTTTCCTCCCCATATCACACAGAGTCTGATACATCACAGCTGCTTGATAAATGTTGAAAATGAATCAGAAAGAAGCAAGAAAGTATGATTAAAGGAACAGTGAGCACAGCGAGCAGTTCTAATTAATTCAACAAAAATTTTATTTACCATGTGCCAGACACTGCTAGGAGCTGGAGAGAGTGGAGAGCAAGAGACACCAGCCCTGGCCCCATGGAGCCTATAGTTCAGTTTCACATGGCTGACATGCAGAGTGTGAATGAGGGGGAAATGGGGGATGCATCTGGATGCTTGCCTGGGGCCAGGTCCTAAAGGGCTTCATGCACCAAGCTAAGAAACCAAATCAAATCAGGACTGAGAGATAGGCAGGAAGGCTGCTAGGGCAGGAAAAAAAGCCAGTGAGCTAAGTGCTCTACCCTTCTAGTGCTTTTCCCCAGACCCTGGGCAGGATCTCTCTTTTCTTCCCAATGACCTGGGGCCACACTCACCGATGGGAACAATGATCCCAATGACAGCAGCAGTGACTGTTGAGCCCATCTTGCCACCTTCATTCCCATCTGTAAAATACAAACATTTGCAGAATTATGTCTTTGTTTCTCATGGTCTGTTGTGGTCTGTCTGTCCAGTTTTAGTAAAGTAATTAAAATGTGATTTGTATTGTGTAGTGGAATCAAGAGCATAGACTCCTGGGTCAGACTCCTTGGGTTCAAGTCCAGCTCTACTATTCACTACTTGTTTGACCTTAGCAAGTTATTATATATTATAAGCATTATATTTCTTTATCTTTAACATGGGGATAATCATATTGCCTATCTCCTAGGCACATTGTGAAGATTAAATGAGATGATTCATGTAAAATGCTTACTTAGTGCCTGGCACTGCCTTGTCTAGTTCAAAGAGGGTAGGGAGTGGGGTAGAGTTTGTGACACCTAAATAAACTAAAGTATATAAAATCATATTCTAAACTGAAAAGTACTTGGAATGTAGTTTTTAAAAAGTATGTTGTGCCATCATTTTCACTCTTCTAACCATCTTCATTGTAACATTTGTATAGCACTTCGTAGTTTAGAAGGTATTTTTCCCTTGGATCCTCATTATAGCCCTTGAAGCATGAAAAGGGGCTATCATCTACATTTGCTGCAAGAGAGGGGATAATTGCCCCTGGAAGTGGCCCAAATGCCATCTTCCCAGTGTGTCTGTTTCTCCAAGTTACTCTAATGAAATCTAATTATTAAGGGGAGAAAACAGCCACACCGTTTATAAAGCTTACGGTGACATTGACACTGTCTTCTCTCTCCGGGGCCCGAGCAGACAGTGGACAACAATATTAAAGCCTAGAACAAGATGAAATTAGTAGAGAGACTCATACAGGCTCTGCCCTGTATGAAGGGAACTGGAATTCATACATGTTCCACCTGCCTCTCCAAACTTAAGGGTAAGTGCTCAACTTAGAAAATCAGCTTCTGCTTGCAGGACAGGCCCAATTAGAAAGGTGCTGCTGAGCTGCTTAGTTTCTGGGCCATGAATGTATGGGAAGGTTTATCCTCTGAAATGAACTCCCCTTGGCAGGTAACTCAATTAGAAAGGTATTTGCTGGTTAATGAGATGGAACATTTCTAGCAGTGACAATTACTGCTCCTGATGATTTAATAAGTGGTAAACTTAATTACTTTTACCCCAGGGTTTGGAAGAAGGCACAAGCAGACTAGTTACGGATATCACTTTTTAAGGAACCTACCGAGGGTGCTGAGAACTGGGACCATATCTTTTAAACTTTCCAGAGCTGAAGGACACTCTCTCATATACATGTCAGTAACACGTGACACACAGACACACACCCAGAGTCAGCAGAGGCTGTGTGTGTGAGCACTTCTAACTTATACCGCTACTTTTGCCTCTCATGGCATATAGGGAAGGGGTTATTATTACATTTTGTAGGTGAGGAAACTGAGATTCAGAGACAGGAAGTAGATTCCCTTGAGACCCTCCATAAGTTAGGGGCATATAAGACTCCTAATAGCAGGTGGGCACTCTGCCTCCCTCTACTTCCTCCTCAGAGATATCTAATATTCAGCTCTGGTATGATCTTTTCTTCCCACATATTCTCCCATCCTGGCTTCCCATATGATGAAAGAAGGCAGAACTCATGTCCTTACAATGCTGGGAGTGGTTGCTGGTTGCAGGGCTTGGGGTAGACGGGCTGATGCTGGAAGCCCTGGGGACATTAACTGAGCTTGGGACCGCAGCTGCCAGGCTTGGTGTCTCTGTGCTGTGGTTCTGGTAGCTGGGGCTGTGGATGGTGGCCCCAGGGGCTCTTGTATCGGCTACTGTCCTCGTCGTGGTAGAGGCTAACGTCGTAGTTGAGGTAGATTGAGGTGCTGGAGGGGAAATACCATCGATGTCACATGGACAGATAATTCTGTTGCTTTAGTGCCTAAATTATTGCCTCTATGGGTTATACTTATGAACACATCCTCATGGCTCAGCTCAAATGCCACTTCTGTGAAGGCTTTCCTAATCCTCCTGAATGGGCCGTGATCTTTTCTTTAGCTGAATCCCAAGCACTGTGTCTGTGTTTCTACTGAACATTGATTTGATAAAGATGAGTCATTAAAACAGTGCTGTAGAATTAGATGTGGGCAAGACCACCATTAAAGTCTGGGAGGAGGGGAATCTAGAAGGATTTTACACACATATTGTTATACCATTAGGTTTCAATTCTCCCTCCACTTTTATAAGTGGATCTGGAAATCATAAGTGATGCGGCAGACTTATGCTCAAACAAAAGGCCTTAGCCATGCATCAAGACTAGGGAACGAATATAAATTTATATGGTTGAAGTATTAACTATTAGTCCAAATCATATCACAAAGTTAAGTTCTAGGTGAGAAATAGGCAAGCTCATAGTCACCTATATATAAACAGTAATTAAAGCCATGGGGATCAAGGGGTCTTAATTCGAGGTCCTCAGGGGCACCAGAAAGCCCCTGAAACTGAATTTAAAATGTTGTCCGTATATGTGCATTTTTCTTGGGAGTGAGAAGAGAAACCTTTGTTAGGACCCTGGAAGACAACAGCATCCAAGAAAAATAAAGAAAAGGAACCTGCAGAGGCAACATGAAGCCAGAGCAGGTGGAGGAAAACCAGGGTGTACAGTGTCCCAGTAGCCAA